ATATTCCCTGTATAAGGTCACTTGTGTAATGGGATTAGTTGTGTAATTTGGAGATAATGTGTATTTCTTGTAGGATGAGTCTTGTCTATTCCATCATCCCATTTCCCCACACACATACCGCTGTCCTATATTCTGGCTAAGTCGAGCCCCTAAGATCTCCTCCAGGAACATTTGGACAGGACATGGATATCCTTGACCTTTCCCTCCCCCTCTCACCACCATGTTTATAAAGACATGCTTTAGAGAGTTGACTGATAAGGATTTAAAGGTCTCTATGAGATCATAACTGGCCCTTAATCCTATATTTTAACTGCATAGATTTATAGAATTTTAGAGTTAAAAAATAATTTAAAGGCCATCAATTACAAACTGTCACATAACAAAGAAATTTGTGGATATTCTGAACATCTTGAATTGAATATCTCTTGTACCTTTGAAGAGCTCTACTAATTAGGAGCTTGGTTCCATGGTGTGGAAGAAAGATTATAACACCTAGAGTCAAAGGACTTGGATTATAATCTAGCCTCATTTGTAGGATGATCTTGCAAATTGAATAACGTTGCAAGAGCATCAGCTTCTTCACTTGTAAAATAGGGATGGTCCCTACCCTACTTTATTGGACTATTCAATATCTGAAATCATTTTTTAAACTATAAAGCATCATTACAGATATTTAGTACATTATTATGTTTATGCCACAATGAAAAAATATGATATATATATCTATGAATACATATCCTCACCAAGAAATCACATTTCTTTAATGGTAGACTGAAATAATTGTTCCAGAAGTATTTTTCTTTGAGTTCAAATTTGTCTTCCCATGGTATTTATGTATTGTGAGTTTGGTCCTTTGTGACAATGTAGAACTGGTCCAATCTTTCATCAACATAATTACTGTGTATTAAACAGGAAAGATAATAGGCTCAAACCATGACAATTTAGGTCTATATTTCATGGAGGAATTTCTGGAACTTTAGGAACACAGTTGGATCTCCAATAAAAATATTCAAAGGTATTTGAAATAAAGGAAGCTCCCAAGTTTAAGTGTGTTTATGGGTTTTTTAAATAAATAATTGAAGATTATATTTAGCTTGTTAAAAATCTTTTCCAGGCATATCAAATTGTAAAGCAGCAAGCGGAAAATTGTTTTACACAGTTAATTTATATACTGTCTTTAGGGGGCAGTACTAAACCACTGATAAATTTTGTTATTTCTGTTAATGCTGCTGGTAATGGTTAATATAAAATAAAACCGAAGTAACTATAACGAGATTTGTGATGCAATTACATATACCCCTTAATATTAGTAAAATTTTCTAGGTAGTTAAATGAAAATGATAGTTTGAAATTCACTGATAATTCATTCAATAAATAATTATTAAATTCTATTATGCATACCCATTGTAAGAGATACAAATGTAAGACAATGTTTGCTTTCAAATAACTTACAATTGACTAGGATAAATAAGCTGGGGTTTGTGTGTGTGCGTGCGTGTGTGTGTATCTCAGGATAAAGATAATAATAAAAATAGCAATATGTATTTATTATTTTTTATTTGCTAATCACTGTCATGCAATTACTTTTATCCTCATACAACCCTATCAAGGAGGAATTACTATTTTTCCTACTTTTCAGATAAGGAAACTAAGATTAATAAGATTATATGATTTGCTTGAAGTCACACAGCTTGGAAATGGCAGAGACAGGATTTAAATATGTATCTATCTGACTTCATAGACACTTGTTTTTGCCACTATGCCATCTATCATCTCAATGTATATGTGAAATATCATAATACTCAAACACAAAGGGCTATAGACATTTACAAAAGAGCCACATCATTTCTCTTTGTGGGAAATCTGGAAAGAAGTGAAATCTGAACTGTATTTAGAGGGATCAGTGTGATTATAGGAAGATAATAGCTAAAATCATAGTTAATATTTGTTAAAACTTTATTATGTTTCAAGCACTTCATGTTCATTACCTCATTTAATTATCAGGAAAAAAATCTGAGAGGAGTCCGGCCATATTATTTTACATTGTGCAGATAAGGCAAGTGGGGCTGACAGTGGTCACATCTGATGAAAATCACCCTAATAAGTAGGCTAATAAGTAGGCAAGTCAAAAATTCAGAACTAATTTTAGAGCCTATATTTTTAACCGGTACAATATGCTTCCTGGAGACATAAGATGGAAGGCATGAATAAATGTATTGAGCATGATTAAGGAAGGATAAGCAGTTCCACTTGGTTGGGGTCTGGGTGAGTACAGTAGAGTAAGTAAAAGTGTTGAAAAATAGTTTGACCCTATAACCTTGAGGAATTTGGATATTGTTTACTGCACAGTGGGAAATAATTGGAGATGTATGAATAGGGAAGAGACAAAAAGAGAATTTTTCTCTGGGGTAGAGAAAGAGATAGAGGAATTCTCAGTAAGATTAGATCAAATAATTATAGCACCATTAACAAAAATAGAAAAGAACTGATTAATCTGTGAAATGATAATAATTCTTGCCATGTATATAATGATTTATAGTGCCATGCCATGTCAACATTGATGGCCAAACAAACCAACAACTGATCATGAGTTGGTGAATGAGATGCCTATTGGTTATTTTATTCTGGTTTGTACACAACATTGATCAGACATGATCAGACATTGATCTTGCTAGAATAAAGTTTTAGATGCCCCAGGATTTTCTCACCAGGGTATCTGTAGGATGAAAAATCCCTGTGATAATCATCTTTTATTACTGATTTGAGAAATGTATTTTTATGAAAGTATGGGCTACTATGTATCAAATTACAGAAAGTTTGGTTGTCACAGATAGCAAATTGCTTTCAGGCATATCCTTATGTAGCAGAAATATATTAACAAATATACTTTTGAAATTTAAACTGCAGTTGCCTCAGCTCAGTTATTCACTATGTTGCTTTTTACAGCAACATTGTGCTGAATGAGAAGCCATGTAACATAGTGGTCCAGGCGGGGCCCCCCAGCTCTAGAGTCAGGTAGTCTGGATTAGAATCCTATTCTGCCACTAACAGTTCTGTGATTTGGTTTTACTTGACCTCTCTGTGCCTTAGTTTGTGTGAATAATATGATCTTATAATGTCACATAGTAAATGTTCAATAGATTATAGCTGTTATTATTATTGTTACCTTATAAACTGTAACTGCTTAAGGAGCTTTTTAAGTTTATGATTTCTCAGTTACTGAAAATTGATGAAGGGAAATTTAAGATGTGAATGTAGAAAAACAAAATCTTATATTTTAAAGTCATATATTTTATTGCTTAAAGGAACAACTTTTTGAGGGGCAAGTGGGCCATTTATAATTTAGTATATACAGTGTCTTAACTTCAATAATCATGATATATCAGTGTTGTGTCCAACTTTCTGAAGACTTTTACCTTTTTTTTTTCCTTTAATTCAGTTTGCTGAGCATTCACCAGGCTCTTTGAATATGGAATTTTCATCAGTTCTGGCAAAATTCCTTGCATTGTTTCTTTGATAATTTCCTCCCATTATCTACATGGACCTCTTAGTTTGATCCCATAGTTTTCTTAACTTTTATTTTCTCCTCATCTTTTGTTCTATCTTCTAGGGAGTTTCTGCAGCCTTATTTTCCATCTCTTCTATTGGGTTTTATGTGTTTATTAGTTTTGTAGCATTGTTCTTATTTGATGGATGCAAAGATCTTCTATTTCTTTGTGAATACTATTTTTTAATTTTTTCTGTATATTTATTTTGGTCTCTGTTAAAGGCTTCCTTCAAATGTGTGATGGTGCTTGGATTCTTGGTCATATTTACCTAAAAAATTAGAAACTGTTTATATGAGTGTAGTTTTTTTGAGAGATGGGCTTCATAGTAGGATTTAAGGCATAGACCCCTATCATTTTACTAGGTACCTATAGATCTTTTTTTCTTGGGAGGTCAATTTCTACAGAGGGGAGTACATTCTCATCTCCTACCTACTTGGGGGATATAAACCTAGCTGCCATGTTCTTTAAGGCAAATGTAGGCAGACCCTGGGGTAGGTTGGGAGTCTACAGCTACTAGATATTCAGTTAATTTATTTGTTTTTACAGACACCCCTCTGTTCACTGTGCATGGATTGTTAGAATTCATAATCCGTTGCTTCAATCTCACCAGAAAATAAACCTCCAATTTCTTGTTAGTAGTGAAGGTTTAGTTTCTTGGCCATTTGAGAAGATGGGTCTAAGCGTCTCTTTCAAATATAGAATTCTTAAGCCCTTTTAGTGGTGTCAAGTCATACCTAGACATGCTTCTTATTCCTCCTCCTTGCCAACATTTTGTTTTCAGTTTTCTCAAGTTTGCTAAATCAGGTAATACCTACCCATTTCTTTATCATTCTCTTAAAATTTTCTTGTTATTGCTCTTCTAATCTTTTTCCTGTTGTCTTTGTCCTTATGCTTTAGACCATTTTTTACAAGCCCTTTTCTGTCATTTTAATGGGATTTGGGAAATAGCAAAAGTAAATATGCAGGTTCAACATGGAAATCCCACTATTAATTTAAAAAATATTACCCTTATTACACGTATAATATAAAGTTTTATGAAGTTCATTTTTTTGAAAAGAAGACATTGTGAAAAAATGGGCTTTTTAGCAATTCCTGTTTCAGTAATGTATCTTCCTGCTACTCATCTGATTGCATTTAGAAATCATAAGATTTTTCTCATTTGTTGCTATTGAGATATTTTCTTGGGTCATTTTCATGTCCTGTTCTTCATTATGAACCTTTTGTATCCTATCCTTTTTCATCCGTTTTTTCACTTTCAATTTTTTTAAACATTCAGGTTGAATTATGCATGGTTTTTGGTTAGTCACATGGCATAGCCACATAACTATGGTGAATGTTAAGCTGATTTTGCTTGCTAACATACACTATAAGAAATTAATGTAATTTAATTGATATTAAGATATCTAAATAACATTGATATAATATATTGGTATAATATACATTTAATTTCAGAGGACTTCATCTACAATAAATCTGTCACCAGGAGAAGTGGAAGAAGATGATGATGATGAAAACACTTGTGGGCCCTCAGGACTCTGGGAAGCATTAACTCCTTGTAATGGATGTAGGAACCTTGGCTTCCCAATTCTTGCACAGGTAACAGTTTGCTTTTCTTAAGATATAATAAAACACCAAAATAGTTTATGTTTTTAGGGAAATCTTTTTTCCGTTCCTGGAAATCCAATTACTATCTTATTCACCCTGTAATTTTTCTTCGTTTAAAGGTCAGTAAGATGTTTATCTAACTTGCTGTACATGTATGCATATGCAAATACATATTTTACATCATTTTATGTGGTGCGTTTATTTTGATCATGATGCTACTTCCAGAAAAATTGAGTTGTTTATGAGGTTTTTCATATTTATGATCTAGAAATAGCTCATTTTAAGGAATGCTATTTGCAAATTATAAGTTTTATTAAAATAATAAAAATTATTTACAAGGAAACATATTGGGGCTCTTTAAAAGCATTGTCAGTGGTTTTTAATTTTTTAGCACAATGAAACATTGTAGAATAATGTTTCCCACTGAAGATTATGTAGTACAATCCAAAATGATACCAGAACACTAAAAACATTGACTATAATTTTGAAATCATCTCATGATTCATTAAGTCAATTTTATTCTATTGTATCACCTTCAAATTCCTATTTATGTTTTGTACCACAAGTCTTTGGAGGAATTTGAGAATTAAGTAAAATTAACCAGAGTTAGGAAATTTAAAGCCACAATGAAAATACGAAAAAACACTTAATACAAAAGACAGTGTAATGGTAAAGGTATGTATGTGTAACTACTTAGTGCATAGGTGGAAAAACAGTCTAGGACAGAAAATAATTCACAGTAATTGTCCAAGATAGTGTTAAATTTCAAAAATACTATATTCTATTTTGCAACAAGTAGAAGCAATTGTGTCCAAGAAAAAAATCATATTTTTCATGTCTTATGTCACAAATTGATCATAGCCACTTAAGTCCCATATAAATTTATTATGGAGATAATCAAATCAGCATATAGTACTTAAAGAATCTCTTCATCTTAATACGAACTATTTATAAGACTTTAAGACAGTATCCTAATCCAATCTGAATCAGAATTGTTATCAATATATACTGGACTATGAGTTCCATAATGGTAGAGACTATGTATTGCTTAATATCTGTTTCTAAGGCCGTAGTCCCTGACATATTGTCAGTATTAATAATTAGTAAAACAATGAACAATGTGTATGTTCGATGCTTTCATTTCCTCACGTAAAGATCATATCTATAAAGATATAGTAGAAAGAACAGCAAGAAACATTGGTTTTATTTTATTAATATAACCTTATCTGCTTAACGTTTACCAGTAAATTGAGTGCCTTTATCTCTTTTTTTTCTGTTTCATAAAATAAAGTATTAGGGCTCTAAGCCATCAATAATATATGACTAGAATTTCCTTCTCTACCACCTTCCTAAACATTTATTTTTTTCATTTTATTAGGCTTGGTAGTAGGGTTGGTAGTAACTTGATTTTGGTTTACAATTTTTTTATTACTGGATACTTTTATTTGGCCATTTTCCTGTGAAGACTGGCAACTAATATTTAGTAGTTACATTTACTACAAAATGTTTCCCAGGCTGTGGCTTTTCCCCCCTTACATTGTGTGTGTGAGTGTATTCTGTGTACTTTTTCAAACTATCAAGTTCATTAAACTTCTTAGTCTTATTTTTTGGTTTAATTCACCTTATCTAGAGATAACTCTCATTCCTCTCATTATATCGCATTGTGTTTGGCTTGGGTGTTCTTCTGAAATCTCTTATTTCTGTTGTCCTATTTTTAAAACCACATGACTCAGTTTTGATATTTTTACATATAATGCATGGCAGGAGAAATCTTGATTGCATTATTTAGCTGACATGATTGTCTGCTGTTAAAAATGTATATTTTATAAAAGTATCCTTATTGGTATTTTGTTACTGCATCACATCTATAAATTTACTTGAAATGTAGTATCTTTTTTTTTTTTTTACTGTATTTAATATAATGAATCAAAAGTAGAATTCTTTTACTAATATTCTCGTCTGGACTTCTAATGTTTTCACTTTGTTGGTGGACTCTCCTTTAACATATGTTATGTATTTACGATAAAATTTAATACATTTCTCGTGACATTGGAGACATATCAAATGTAAATTTATCCTACAACTTGCAATAGCTTTGAACTCAGGATTTTCCAGGCCAGCTTCAAAATTAAAAATCTTCATAAATTTCATGAATAACAGGATTTTATTTTGAAGCTGTTTTTTTCCAGACCTGAAATATTGTGTGTGTGTGTGGTCATTAAAGTCATTTAAATATTCAAATATTTGTGATTTTATTAAATAATAAATGATTAAAAATCATTTAAATTATTTAAATATAGTGAGGGGTCATCAAAAAATGAGGCCTCATATGCACAGTGCTTGGCTTAATGATTTTTAAGGCCTCATGGAAAACCATTACCTTACAGTCTGGTGTAGGAGCCTTTGGGATCAGTGGAATTAGTATGCTGCTATGCAAATTTCCATATACCCAGACTTTTGGATTCGAATAATATATATTTATTTCACATTTATAACCCTTAATTTAATTGGATCCAGCACATACGTGTCAAATATCTTCTTCATTCAAAGCATGGTGCTAAGCTTCAGAAACATGAGGATTATGGAAATACAGACTTAATTAAAACTATGTGATGTATTACTTTTAGAGTCTTAGATTTTTTACTTGCAAAAATTAAAACATTGGCTGATCCTGTAGATCTTACACTTCTAAGATTATCTAATCTCCAGTTTTTGTCTAGATTTTAAATTGAGCTTTTATTCAGCTCATTTTTCTGTTTTTCTAGTTTTAATACGGCATTTTATCCTTCCATTGTGGCTAGATGTTATTTAGAATTCTAAGTTTTAGAATTTAAAAGGAATTGCTTCTTGTAAAAATTTCAAGAAATTTAGAATTTTAAATAACATCAAGGAATTAAAGACTTATAGAATATATTGGGTACTTTAGTATAATTTCAAAGCAGTTAAATAATATTTAAGTTGGGCAAAGAACAAGAATAAAGAGACTGAGGAAATGAAGTTCTTTCTGTAAAGTATAATTAGTTTTTCAACATGCCTGACAATATCATCATCATCATCATCATCATCATCATCATCATCATCATCACTATCATTTGCTTTTGTGCATTTGGTTATGTATTTAGTAAATTTTAGGCTTTTTTTTTGGTGAATACATATTGATGATAAATGGAGGAGGGTCTCTGAGAGTAATCTTAAACATTTTATTCTGTCATCTGTATGTAATCACAAATATCAAGTTAAGAGGAAGTTAAAGATAGTTCAGAGCCTGATAATAAATTGCCATTTGTTTTTATTACTACCTTTCCCTATTAACAGAGCATATGTCATTAGAGCAGAGAATCTGAGTCGAATTGTGTTAGGGTGGGTGATATTTCTTTCCTCCACAGTCTTGGATAAGGTGTCCATCTCTGCACCACGTGCAGTATAGGACTTTGAAGCTATTTCCGAAAGAGTCAATTCTGCTGAGTGGAGGTCTCTGACTTCCATCCTGTTCACTCATGTAGCCTTCAGTCTGCAAGATTGTAATAAAGGGTCCCAATACTGAGCTGTTAGCTGCCTTTGCAATGGGCTTGCCAGTAGTTTCTGTTCTTGGAATCACCATATTTATTCTGCCCTCTGGGAAGAGGCCAGTATCTCCTACTGATGTGCTGGAAGTACCCTCTCAAGACAAGAAAGGCTTGCAGCCCTTGCTAACAATAGTATTAAGACATGTTGAATGCACCCATTGTGGCTATTCTAGCTGTGCTTCCTCCTGGATCTGTAAAGGCTGCTCCTGTCGCCATCCCTGCCCTTTTATCAAATGCTATAGGCTTTGTGACTGCAGAAGTATGTGAACTCTTGAATGCAGTATGTGTGGGAGGCTTGATGAATTCATTCCTCCCCAGCATAACCATAATAGGTGGTCCCAAACACTGTAGGGTTCATGTGAAGAGTCTTGATGCCAACTTGATCTTGATCCCTTCCATAGACATGAATGACATTTGCCTGTGGGGGAAGACAAACAAGTGAAATAAAGAAAGTGAGGGCAGAAAGGTCTGTTTCTTTTATTCCTATAGCTAAACAACAAGGGCTTATGATAAGAATTCTGAGGTCTCAATCCAATCTCCCATTTGTTGCAGGAATTCCCCTCTTTAGTATCTCTACAATGACCATGATGATCATTCCAGGTTTGCTCCTACAATTCCAGTGCCAGTGAGAGCACTGTTATAATTCACCAGTGAATATCCTCATAGACTACTTTTTATACCCTTATGTTAGTGTTTCTGCTGGCCAAGTGGTATGCACTACGCTACTAAACATGCACACAAACACATCCCTCTGCCACTGATGTATGCAAAATCAGTACATGGCGGTAGAGGGATTACATCCCACAATGTATCAGCCTACCTGGATGTAGCAGTGTATGTTCAAGAATAGATGGTCAGGATGCCACACATGGCGACACAGTATTGGATATGAAATTAAGAGTTAAGGAAGCTAAGGAAGCTCTGAAATACAGCCTTGGGGAACACTCTGGAGCACTCCCCAATGTGACATGGCCTACAAATGGAGGCTCTTGTGGCCCTGAACCATCTACATGCAATGCATTTTCTAGGTAAGCCTCAGTACCAATGGCTCTGCAGGACTTTCATCTACTCTCCTTCAGCACTCTGCCCCCATCTTTTAGAGTCTTTGCACAGACTTACCCCTGGGCTCTTGTTCTTCTCTTCAAACCCAGTTATGTCCAGTGTGTTCCCAACTGGGATGGCCTGGGAACCACTGTAAGCCTCTACTGGTGGTCTCAGAATGTAAACGAGGTTTTCCCAGTGGACAAAAAGATCTCTTGTGTTGGAAGGGGGACACAGCTGAAGGTAAAAAGAGCGGCCAGTGGCAAGCTTCAGGTGGAGCTGTTGCTTTTTACCATTATGGATGGTTATCGTTACAAACTTCAAGGGAAGCAGCCTGGTTAGCTCTAAGATCTGTGTAGGCTTGTAACCTTTTTCCGGGGTGGCAGGGCCATATCTGTTATAGTCATCACACATAGCAGCTGGTCGGGCCAGCAGCATGACATCAGGTAGTGTGAGGTGGGGGCTGGTGCGAACGATGCCCACAGTTACCATTCGGGCACGGTTGTGCACATCAATCACTTCTCCTTTTTTGCTGACCTGTATAAAGTCACTCTCAAACATTGGTGCATACTTGAATATACTATACTCCCCCTTGTACAGTTGTTGCTGCAGTTTCCCCATGGAGGTATTAAACATACCCATTGCAGGGCTGCTTTGGGCTGTGTAATGTGGTAACTTAAATTGGCTGTTCATGGCTATTTTTTGCCACGACAGCTCCTAGGGGTCCTCCACACCTTACCACACTTTGCAGGGTGTCCTCTTTCCCTGGTTTCTCTAGCAAGTGGGCTAGCAGTGGTCTTCTGCAGGCTTTTTTGTCTCTGAGAAACTGAGAACAGGGTGGGGGTGCTAATTACCAATTGCTCAGTGCTAGAGACTATTGTATCTGCACCATACTGCGCTCTGCCTAGAGAATGGAGATGTTGGGGTACACAGATGCCAGGGTCCCAGTAGATGTTACCATATGCAGATGTTGAGGAGTAGAGGTCAGGGCTCCAATAGATGTCAAGGTGCACAGATGTTGGGACCCCAGTCGATGTCAGGGTGCACAGATGTGGAGGCCCACAGAGGTTAGGCCCCAGTAGATGCTACAGTGTGCAGATGTGGAGAAGCAAGAGATCCAGGCCCCAGTAGATGTCAGGGTTTGCAGATGCCGAGGCACGTAGATGTTGGGGTTCCAGTAGATGTCAGAGTGCACAGATGTTGAGGCATGCAGATGTTGGTATTCACTTGGAGTGGGGAGGGGCCTCCTCTTGAGCCTGACACACTGGTTCACAATAACCTTTGCTCTTTTGGATTCCACAACTCACCGCCAATTGTATTCGTACTGCTCCTCTCCTCCCAAACCTAAGCCTCCACCTAGGCCTAAACCACCTGAAGGACCCCTTATGTCCTCTCCTGCCCATTGTGACCTGTGCTTACCCCACACTCCTTTGTCTCTGTCGCCCAACAGCCCCTCCCTCAGAGAAAGGACACTGTCCTCTCCACCTCACCCCACCTGTGCTCAGTACCCCACCCTGCTTGCCACAGCTCAGCACACTTCCCTCCCCCAGGGATCTCCCTCCCCCATCTATGGATCTTAATACATATTGGCAAATTGCTTTCAAAAAGGTTTAGGTAAAGTTTCTGTTATACAGAAAATAAACACGTTCTCTTATCCAGTTTTGTAGCCAATTAGAAGTAATTGTAGACAATTTACTTCAAAGAGAGAATCGGACAAGTTGGTAAATAGGTTAGTACAGGGTGTTTATCAAGGTTTATTGTTGCAAAAAAAGATTATAAACAAGATTAATATCTTACAATAAGGGTTTAGTTAAATAAATTATGGAGCATTCTATGCTAGAATACTCTGTAGTTATAAAAATCATTATGCAGTTCCCTATTTGACATGAAAAGATTTTTTTTTCTTAAAAAGAGCAAAGCAAACATTTCAAACTACGTAAATTGTGGTCCAATTTATGTAAGATCATCTGTGTGCATGTTTGCATATGAGGGTATGTTCAGTGAAATGTTTAAAGTGCTTATATCTGGGTGCTGTAATTTTTATTTTATTTACACTTTATATTTTTATTAGGATAATTATTATTTCTATTAGTGGGAAAAATAAAAATATTTTTATTAACAATGTCTATTTTTACAGCCACAATAAATTTTATGTTTTGATACACCCTCACACTGCTGATGAGATATTTAAACTTTTTCCTAGACATCTGTATTCTGACTTTACAGTGAAAAGAGCCTTAAAGATTACATTTATGATCTGTCCTTACCCACTATCAGATTGTATGTGTGTATATATATATGTGTGTGTATATATATACATATATATATATGTATATATATAAACTCTGAGAAATTTTGCCAACTATTATAAATGTTGTCAATTGAATAAGATTAAAATCTCTCTATTGGCATGATGGTGTACATAACACACACATACACATACATATGAAAAACCATAGTTTTTGAGACTTTAGTTTTTTCTGTAGGTCAAAACAAACATTTTTCTTCCCTTCATATTGAAATATCTGGTTATTTCTGTTAATATGAGTATTTTTACTTTAAAAAGAAGATTTTCACGTATCAATAACAATGTTTACTGGCCTGTTTAAGGTCTGTATATCTTAATTTCTACTTTGTGTCCATATTACTTATCTTATAATTAGAAAAATCAATAAGCCTAATATACATTTAGTAATCGAACTAACATTTTAAAGATATTGCACTAGTTTTGGTGCTTTTTGAAAAGAATAAGTAACAATGGGCACTATATAATTTAATTTAGATGCTTTAAAAAAATTAAGTGAAGATACACCTGTTTTCTTAAAAGCACTTTTATGCCATGCACATGTATTAGCAAGATATTTATCTTAGGGTTCCATTAGAGCATGAGTTAATTGCCTTGTCTCCAGGGAAATAAGAAACTATAATACTTATAGGGACTATGAACTTTCAGAAAATTTTCCAAACCAGTCATTAGTCCAACAACAGTAGAACTGCTATTAATCATCCTGATGATCATGATGTGTAGCATTCTGGAAAATATCTGTAATTGTCATTAGTCTGATATAGTTTATCAGACTCCCCTAGCAATTTAGAAAAATACCTTATTAATATTTGCCTCAATATTTAAGAAGTTCAGATGGCTAAATAAAAAGCTACCTAAACCTGAGATTAAGGAATTCTTTTTATGAGAATGCATCAGTTTTCTTTTTTCTTTTTTTAATGTTTTATTTTTTATTTTAGAGAGAGAGTGAGAGGGGAAGAGAGAGAGAGAGAGAGAAAGGGAGTGAGAGAGAGAAAGAATCTTAAGCAGCCTCCACAGTCAGCACAGAGCCCACTGCACTGAGGGTCTTGACTCCATGACCCTGGGATCATGACCCGAGCCAAAATCAAGAGTCAGATACTCAACTGACTGAGCTACCAAGGTGCCCCAGGAATGCAGTAGCTTTTTTTCAGGCTTGCTCTTAGAACAGATTTCCATGCAGTTCAGCATTAGATATTATTAAAATAAGTTTATTCTCACTGTCCTCTACATTAGAGTTTGTGTCATCTAGTAAATCATTTAACTTCCCGAGGTCTTATTTTTCTCATCCTTGAAATTGAAATGATTCATTAGGTATCTTTCAGCTTGAGAATAGTTATGATTTTTATTATAGGGATTTAACTTTTTCTGCCTGTAATGAAGCTTCTATGTACTTTGGAAATACTCCAAACAATAATAATTAGTCAAGGAATTATTCAGATCTCAACAGCTCTGGGAATTGTATGATTCAATATACAATCTTATTCTGTTGCTGAACTTCTTGCTGAAACTTTCAGAAGAATCAACATTCAAAATGTAAAAATGACAAAATATTACCTCAGTAATTTGGGCAGTGAATGAGGGGAGTACTTAAAACAATGTAATTGAACATACGGGTTAATTTTAGATACAATTTAGTTAATGAACATTGTTTATCCGCTGTGGTAGGCAGATTAGTTTCCCCAAAAGATTTCACATCTTGATCTTCACAACCTGACTCTGTGACATTACATGGTAAAGGAGCTTTGCAGATGCAATTAAGTTCAGGATCTTGAAATGCGGAGATACCATGGATTACCCACATGGGTCCAGTGTAATCACAATGGTCTTTATAAAAAAAAAAAAAAGTCAAAAGGGTCAGAGTTAGAAGGATAAGTGATGATGGAAGCAGAGGTTGAGCGATACAACCACAAATCAGTGAATGCAGGTGGCCAAAAAGCAGGAAGTGAATTCTCCTCTGGAGCCTCCAGAAAGAACAAGCTCTGCCCAGTGAAAATCATTTTGGACTTCTAGATGGATTATACTCAGAACTTGACCCATACCTACTTAGATGATGAGATTTGGGACTTTTGAGCTGATAAGATTTAGAGGAGATTCTGAGTTTAAATTGATGCTTCAATGGGTTGAGACTTGGGAGAATGTTGAGATGGGGATGAATGGATTTTGCTGTGGATGAATGTGATCTTTGGGGGGATGAAATATAATAAATAATAGTGTCCCCCTCTCTTTATAAATGTCCATGTTCTGATATCTAGAAACTGTGGATATGTTAACTTGTATGGCAAAAGGGACTTTGCAGATGTGACTAAGGATCTTAAAATGGGGAGATTATCCTGTATTGCCTGGGTGGACCCAACATAATCATAAGGGTCCTTAAAATAGGGAAGATGATATGATGAAGAAAGAGAAAAAAAAATTAAATATTACGTTGCTAGCTTCAAAGATGGAGGAAGGAACTATGAGTCAAGGAATGTAGGTGGCGTCTTGAAAATGAAAAAGGCTGGAACAGATTCTCTCCTAGAGCCTCCAGAAGTAATAAGCCCTGCTGACTCCTTGATTTTAGCCCTGTAAAACTCCTTTCAGACTTCTCATCTCAGTAACTGTCTGAGATTAAATTAATATTGTTTTAAGCTACTAAGTTTGTGGTGATTTGTTACAGTGGGTAATGGAGACTAATATAGTGACTGTGGAAATTAGGTCAGTAGTAGACTTTTCATTTGTTACATACTCATTCAAATAACAGAAGCATGTTTTTTTGTGTCTAGGCAGAAGGCATGAGATGTGGGCATTTACAGAGGAATGTATTTTAGCTTTAATATCAAGCATTCATTTGATCTAGGTTTTTATGATTTTATGAGTCATTTTAATGACTTAAAATAATTGGACTAAAACTTTACCATTGGAAAGTCTTCATTTTGTGTATTTTTAGGAAATTATTATCATACTGATAATGATAATAGTAATGCTAACAGTAGAAGCTAGCATGTGGGGTGCCTGGGTGACTCAGTCTGTTACGCATCTGACCCTTGATTTCAGCTCAGATTATGATCTCATGGTTTGTGAGATAGAGCCCCACATTGGACTCCTTGCTGACAGTGCAGAGCCTGCTTGGGATTCTCTTTCCCTCTCTCTCTGACTCTCCCCATCCCTCTCAAAACAACTAAATAAACTTAAAAAAACCCAATAATATCTGGCATTTATTGAATGACTAGCCCATGCCAGGTATGGTGAGAGGCACTTTACATTCCTATATCTCCTAAATTTTACAATTCTATAAAATATTTTCACTTAACCTTGAGAAAATTGAGTTTCAAGAGATTAAGTAACTTCCCCAAGTTTGCATATCTATAATGCTTGATCCAAACCCATGTGAATACTTTGTTAAATTAAAAAAAAAAAGGGCCCATTTTCTCACAGTAAGCTAAATCTGCATATTGTCTACTGTTCAGTATTTTTCACTGTAGCATTTCTCTGTTGAAGAGTATATCAGTAATTACTGATGTCACTGTTTCTTAGTGTGTATTCAATTGATTTATCATCTTACATTGTGTTTCCAGGGTAGTTGATCTGTTAAATATATTTATTATTTATCTTAAAGATTAAAAAATTGTTGGCTTGATGGGAATCTCCATTCATTTAGAATCCCTCCACATTTTTCTATTCTTTTATACATTCATCCATGTATTTATTCTATAAATGTTTACTGACCATTTGTTACATGCAGGGTATAGAGCACTAAACAATATAAACATGCATCATACCCTCATGTTGTTTTAAATTTTGTGCCAGGTAACTGTGAATGATATAAAATAAGGATTATATATGATTCCTGCCCTGATTAACCTTAAGATTTAGTTCAGGTCATTATCCTGACTGCTATTTATTGGTTGTATAATCTTAGACAAGTAATTTATGCTTTGCTTCCTATAATTTAAAATGAGAAGGCTATTTTTCTGTTTATAGGATTGTTATAAAGATTTTAAAACATAAATGTAAGTTTCTGTATAAATTCCTTCCTATACAAATGCAAACTGATCTTTTTCTGTTCAGTTCTTGGTTTTTGAAAATAACAATCTGGCAATTTTAATAGGGTTTGCAGAAGAGTATGTATA